TGACCTCTGCAGCGGCTCCATGAAGACCGACGGAGAGTTTGTGACCCCTGAGAGTGAAGACAAGCCTATCAAACAATCTGCTCTCCAGACCCGCAGTGAGTAACGGAGGAAAGACGCCGATAAGCCGTGTGCCACCACATCGATGCCTATTACACCAGCCATCTAGTGAACTTTAATGACATTTAAATGCAATTTTAAAGCTGCAGGGAAAACAAATGGCTTTTGCATGTGCTATTTTGTGTGTGATTAATATTGACTGATAGAACACTCGTGACACTGAATGCAAGATTAAACAGATTTAGTTTACTCACTCTGCTATTATACACTAAGATTAGAACGAGGGGGAATAAATAATGTGAAACACCTTAAAAAGACATTTGTATTTTGTATGAGATAGTATAAGATGTCTGTTTGCATATAACCATTGGATGGTAGAAACAATGATAATATATATTCACAATTTGACCTATTATGGCAAAATAATAATAATGGAAAAATGCAGTGGAATGGTAAAACCTTACGCAATGTGTATTTGGTTGTCATTTAAAACTTGTGATTTTTTGTATGTATTATTATTATTATTATCATTGTAATTATAATGACTGACTTGTGTAACATGTGTAACAGTGTTAGTGCATGTGTTTAGAGCTCGTTGTTTCTCTTCCAACCTTCATGCCTCATTCAGCATCTTACTCTCCAGGCCTCGGTATGTTCCAGTACAACTGCATTAATTGCTTTTTTATGAATTAGCCAGATAATTAAGACCCACTGTTAGCGCTGATGCAGGCAGGACAGAAGCACGCGGTCCTGGGCCTGTGTTAGAGAGCTACTAATGATGTGCAAATATATTTAGCGTGTCACTCTTATTTAAAGCTCTGCGGTTTGGAGTCCAGAGGGAAATATGGACAAACGCGTCTGATAAACAAGGTTAAGCGCTGGGAAATCTCATGTCCAGCATGCTTGATTTCTGTTCTTGAAGTGAGCCTGCTTGGCCCATCCTCCTCTCATCACATACAGGCCATTCCTGGTTCAACAGTAATAATAATAATACTAATTTGTATTGATCTATTTTGTATTGTGAACCGCTAAACTCTTTGTGTGGTTCCTGGAATAACGAGAACACTTTTCTTTATAGGAGAATTGACCCAAAGTGATCCTGGATTCGACAACTCCCAAACAACTGCAATGACATGCTGATAATATGTTGTGCTGAAGTCTATTACCCGCGCTAGACGCTCCTGTCCCTTTAGATGAAGCTGAAATATATAAATAACGGGAAGAAAACGAGGTTTGCGCAGGTCGATAAAGCTTTTAGATTTGGAGATGTTTCTATTTCCCGCGGCTAAGAGTTGTTAATGGAGCTTTAGGAATTATCTCATGGCTCTGTGTTTTGAGAGCAGTTTATTTCAGGGGCCCCTGTGTTCCCTGTCGAGTCTGAATATGCTGCTGTCAAAGGCGCTTAATGAAAAGTAACGCGTCGCTGATTACAGTTGGATTCGGTTTCTATGTAAAAGCGCCGTTAATTCAGCATCATCCCT